ATACTTATATGTTAAATAACTACATTAAGTATTAAAAGTATAAGCAATTTAAGTACTTTTGAGACACAAAATATCTCATTTAATTAATAATTTTCCTATATATAGGTTAGATTATTTTACATTTATTAAACGATTGTCATCATTATTTATTTACTGAATCTAGCAGTTCTCTTACTCCAACAGATTAACTCTATTTCTGTCCCTCGCTTTTATTGAATTCACAGATAAATGTATTGACTGGAAAAATGCTTTTAGTTTGGTTATGTACACGGTTATTTTGGATACCTAAAGAGGACCTTCTGTACGCCGCGTTACTTTCCTCAGTAGGTCCGCTGTAGGATACCTCTGGAGGTCCTCACAAACTAAGGAGGTATCCTCATTAGATTTAATTCTGTTCGGGTATGTATATATGGGGACAGACATATTAAGTATTCAACGAAGATTTACTCAAGTTTCATTATTTTAATAAATTACTTCGGGTGACAGCGAATAGCGTTTATTGTTGTTAAATTTAAAAAGAGTTCGTGAGTATATAAAATTTTGAAGCGTGGAATAATCAATGAAGTGGGAGTATTTAATAATGAGAGTAATTTGCAAGTAAATTATGGTAATGAATGTCATCACGAATTAGACTTATATGCGTCGCCTACATAAATTATTAAATTTTATTTTCATACCTCTCTTTATTTTTCTAACCCTGTCCTTTGCAGGTTAATTGGGATGCCAACATTGGCCCCACATAATGCCCCATTACACTGCGCCATCTTTCTCTATGTATTTGCCCTGTTTGGACCCACATAGGTAACTGGGTAACCAATGTAGGCCCAACATAAAGCCCCCTTAAGCTTTCCGATCAGGTAATGTGGGACACATATGTCTTATTTACTGCATAAAAGCTTCTAATTACTAGAGTTTTCTCTGTTCGTTTGTAATTACCTATTGTTTATGACTGATCTGACACAATAATTTGTTATAAGTAAAAGTGTTATAAGTCATAATATATCCAATAAATGTATTTGAATGTATATATGTATAAGTATGTTTGTATATATGTTAGTATGGGCCAAGCTCTGGCGCTGAGAGCCGAGTTATGGTTTATAGTTTAGTCGTCGTCCATCGCTTGGTAAGCGATGAGCTACTCGTGTGTTTCTGTGTGGTAGACGTACCGCTACAGAGTCGCTTTTACATGCGAGTGGTCCACTGCTAGTTTAGTATTGTTTAACCTCGAGGTAGTACTAGTAGTAAGAGTAAAAAGTATATGATTTTAATAAACGTGTGCGCCAAAAGAAAGTATTAATGAATGTCTATTCTTTTACTGCCAACCTACTCTGCTTAATCCTCTAACAATAGGTTATGGGCCTTTTGCAATAGATTATGGCATTTTGCAGTGAGTTGTAGATTTTGCGGTGTTGTTTTGTTTTTTTTATCTCGAGGTTTTGAACTATGCAGTGAAGAAAGTTCGACGGAACTTTTAAAATCAGTGTGACTCGTGTGCATTTTTTTTAAATAAAGATGGCTATGCACACTATTGAGAAGCTTAGAGGCCGGGCGAATTATTCTACATGGGCAGTAGCGATGAAAGCTTATCTACAAAGTGATTTGCTGTGGGACACAGTGCAGGTTCCGGAAGGTAGGCAACTGAGCACTGATCCGGATAAGAACATGAAGGCAGCTGGCCGTATAATGTTATCAATTGAGCCTATACTTTACACTCACGTAAACCAGCTCTCTAGTGCAAAGGATATCTGGGATGCCCTTAAAAAGCTTTTTGGCGGTGAAGGCATTCAGAGCAGATGTGCATTAATTGTCGAACTTACACACTTACGCCTTGAAGACTGTGAATCAGTGGAAAACTACATCGCGAGATCTAACACCTGTGCACAAGGGCTTGCAGCTAGTGGACTACAGGTGCCGGATGAAATGTTGGCTACATTATTGCTTGCGGGTTTGCCATCTCAATATGACCCCATGAAAATGGCCATGGAGAGCAGTAATACGAAATTAACATTTGATATGGTCAAAAATACATTAATACAAAAAATTGAAATCCCTCAAGCCATCGAAGGCACTGCTCAAGGTTTCTACGCTGGAAGTAAACAAAGATTTCCAAGAAGCAAGCAAAATAATAATGGAGCAAATAATTCTCAAAGACATAAGCCAGTACAGTGCTACAACTGTAAACGTTTTGGGCACATAGCTAGAAACTGCCGTTTCTCGAAAGATAATAATACAAAAGCCTGCCAAGCCAAAACAGAGAGCGACGAAGAGCCAGATACAGATAAGGAAAACGACAACTTTGCTATGTTTGCGTTCAAGGCCATAGTAGATAAACACACTTCACAAGACTGGATTTTGGACTCTGGAGCGTCAATGCATATGTGTAGAGACAAGAGTTTATTTAAGAATCTGGATTCGTCTTTCAAGTCGAACATAAACGTTGCAAATAGTGGAGCGATGGAAGCTCTTGGCTCAGGCACTGTACAACTTGTTTTGTTTTTTCAAGGACAGAAGAGGATTATTGAAATAAGCAATGTGTTATATGTCCCCAAGGCCACCACAAATTTCATTTCAGTTGGCAGCCTAACTCAAAAACATCATAAAGTTTTTTTCGAGAACAACAAGTGCTCTGTTTATTGCCCAGATGGCACGCTAGTCATGTCAGGTGTTCGCCTAAGAAACAATTTATTTAAGATCAATTCAGATTTTAAATGTG